TACATACATCGCCATTGTATTACCCATCTGAGAATGTTCGTGGCTATCCTGACTAAGTTGAGAAAAAAATATTGGGATAATTTTAATAGAACTCTTCTGTAGAAAATTTCAATATGTGCAGTAATTTATTCGGAATTACAATTTCCTATACTCAGCCACAGAAAAATTGTAAAGTAATCATGAATTTTTTCTTATTGAAGTTATCTTCAGAAAAGTGTCTGAAAAAAACTTTTTTTCAGAACGTATTCCAACTTATTCATTGCGAGAGATATATATTCCCGTGGTTACTTCAAAGAAGTTGTTCCGTATCGAAAAATGTTGTCGTCCGTCCGTCTCTGCTCAAGGCATAATCGTTAATTCTTTTCGAAGAAATGAGATGGATTCAAATCTCATGAATATTGTAGTCAATTATTTTTAAGAAACCTATCAAAAATATATCGAATCAAAAATTCGGAAAGATGTTTTTCGGGCTCTTTTCTGAAAAAAATTTTAAAAAATTCCAGTGACAAAAAAATCATGGAATCCCTTTTGTTGCTCTCAAAAAAGTGTGCAGAACAATTGAATATAATTTTTCTGTATCTTCAATAGTACGGGAAATAACGACGAGTATAGAAACATCTAATTTTATTTCAAAGTTCCGAAACTACTGCAGATACCAAAATATATTTTTAACCAATTTTGTTCGACTCATTGAGTTCTATGAAAATCATCAGAATATATTCTTCATGTCTGTAAAGTTTCATGGTGAAACCAAACAACTATTTTTTTTAATTCAGGATGCATGAACCTGCCTTCATATATATTTATATGTGTATAATATTCAATAAAAAATATGACATAGATGGGCGAATAGTGACCTCTCTTCGAATCTTAGACTATCATAACACTTGAAAGCTTTTGACTGAAAGAGAAATTGTTAGCTGAAGTTGCTGAATACGAAGAACGAAGATAAATACAATAAATAGTTAATGTTCAGAAAAAGTATTGAAATTGTCACAAGTATGGGTATAAATCTAAAACATGACGAAAAACTATTCAAAAGTAGAGGAATCAGGATAAGATATCAAAGCCATCGAGATTAGCTATTTGGAAAAAGATGTTTTCTATGTGTACATTGGCACATCAGTTTATCTAACAGGTCATTATGAATGGTTTCGCATCATGGAAGTTGGAGATAATGTATTGCTAACTATGGAAGGAATACAAATTGAAACTTTTATACGAGGCTAGATGTTCTCCAGGAATTAAATTCAATCCTATTCTACGCAAATAGCTGGCAAAAAGGTACAAACATTTTACTGCATTGGCTAAACTAGATATAACCAATGATTTTTTAAGCTCAAGCCAAGCTTCACTTGAATTAATAAGATTCCATTTCACGATTTGAAATTATACTCATTACAGAAAGAGTCCTAGACAAAATTAGCTACAAACTGCAAAAATTTACATAAAATTTGATATTTGGTGACAGGTACATCAGTTAATAAGTATTTTAATTCGTTGTTATGTTTCATAATGCTTTTGATTCAATGTGCGACAGGAGTTATGATCGCATCGGCTATATCTATGGAAGGAAATCATCAAAGAAATCCATTTCCAAAAAAATCAATTCAAATGGAACTATTTATTTGAGTGACATTAATAACGAAGAAATCAATAGAAATCATGAAATAATGAAACAACAAAAATTAATTGGCGCTCCGGGACGACTTCATTGATTCCAGTGGCGCATTTAAGTAAATAGGCTGCACCGGTTCAAGAAGTTAGCTTATGGAGATTAACACGGAAAAACGGCTGAGGTCCATCGTGGCATTTTTGGTTCCTTAGTTCCTTAGTGGATATATAAGGTTCGTCTCGAACCAGAGATATGTCATTCAATGTGTATGAGAGAGAGAGAGAGAGCTGAATAGAGGGTGTTTCTTGCTAAAAGGGCACACGTGTTCCGATAGAGGCCAGTCTAGCCTCGCCCACATGTTATTCGTTGTGACGCATTTGGTAGTAGGTAGTAGACGGAGCTGATCCGTTTCTAAGATAAGAAATATGTCCCAAAAAGCAATATAGTAAGTGGTCTCCAACACGATCGTTGCTATAGAAGAAATAATGACGGCCACCGTAGATTGCGTTTCGCTAACCATCTACAGATTGCCTTGAAATGCATCGTTTATACAGGGTGTTTCGTTTGAAAAAAAATTGTACGGTTACGGAAGACTAACGCCTCAATCTGCTAAGATTGTCTCCATAAGATAGTACTCCATAAGATAGGAACCTTGTGGAGTACCCAACTCAATATAGGTGTTGGTGTATGCAAGAGTGAGAAGATGCAATTTGTGTATGAGAGAGAAGGTGATGAAATCAGTGTGAAATAGAGAAAAAATGAAAGATGTGATAAATCAAAAGGGCACTAAGCCACATATTCGTTAATAATTATATCGGATCGTCGCGTACAGCACGTCAAATGAGAGGAATGCAGAATTAATCGACAAAGAAAAAACAAAGATGGCGGCCTGAAGGGCATTAAGTCACATCTTCGTTGATAATAGCCGGATCTCAACGTGCAGCATATCAAATTGAAGGGAAAAGGAATGCAGAATGTATCGACAAAGTGAAAATAAAGATGGCGCAACATCTCAGAAGAACATTAAGTCACATCATCGTTAATAATAGTTGGATCTTAACGTACAGCACATCAAATGAAAAGGAAAGGAATGCAAAATGTATCGACAAAGTAAAAACACAGATGGCGCAACATGTCAGAAGGGCACTAAGTCACATCTTTTTTAATAATAATCGGATCATCACATATAGCACGCCAAATGGAAAAGAATGCAGAATTAATTGAAGAAGAAGAAACAAAGACTGCAGCCAGAAGGGCATTAACTCACATCTTCGTTAATGATAATCGGATCATTACATGCAGTACATCAAATGAAAGGGAGAGGAATGCAGAATGTATCGACAAAGAAGACATAAAGATGACACCAAGAAAGCCTGTCATCTCAACGCTGGCTCTCATCTCAACGTGCAGCACGTTAAATGAAAGGGAAAGAAATGTAGAATGTCTAGACAGAAAAAAAACAAAGATGGTGGCTGGAAGTCACTGAGCCACATTTTCATGTTTCAATATGACAGTCATCTGTCATTTACGGTCTCTCAACACGCGTTTCGCTAATCAACTAAGCATCATCGGAAGATGAACACCATTGAGAGGAAAAAACAAAGGTCGCTCGTCATTTGTCATTGAAATAAATAAGACCTTTGCATTTACATAATAAATATTAACTTATGGTCAACTTCCTCGAAATAAATGGAACAATGATTGTAGATGGTGAAAGTGAGATAGTAATGATGAATGAAAAATTATAGAAAAAAACATGGTGGTTTAAAGAGTGTTTCAAAACATATCATTTAAGAAAAAAATATGACGGCTGCTTATTAAATTGAGTATATCAGGTGTACCAACATTTAAGATAGAAAAACATGGTTGCATGAGATATGTCCATATGATTTGCATTACAACGTGGTATGAAAAATAATGAAGAATTGTCACGAGAATCGCTCTAAATATCATGAGTTAAAACAGAGCATTTTGTACATGCATCGAAAAAATGTTTTTTTTTCGCCACGTATTTTTCAAAAAATCATAAGTGAATATACGTTTTGAAATAGTAATAACAGAAAAGTAGTAAACCGTTTGTTTACAGAATTGAAATTTCTTCAGATCTAGGTCGTAAGACATTTGAAATTGAATTGTATATGAGAGAAAAAGTATGATATAGAGTGGGGAATTCATTTTGGGGAAGAAATGAATAGTGAATAAATCGATATGAAACGGTAGCGTAAAACTTTTTTGTGGAATAAGACAGAACTCAATACTCATCAAAAGAGTAACTTTCAAAAATTTGGCAACATGCATTCATGCATATATCTAGGCCTGAAGTTTGAAACACTTATCGGGAAAGAATAATTTATCGCTATAACAATTTTCTGTTATTGCAGAATCGCGTTTTGTTGAGAAACCTTTTCAATTCGAGTGACCTGTGTGTACCTATGTGTGTTTGTGTGTATTAGTGACATATCCAAGAACATATTTGAGATGACATCCAACGAATAAAATATTCGACACATCTTTCTCTTAATAACACACTACAAATACTATGGTGAAAATTTTGCGAGAGAGAAGTAATGAAAAACCATTGTCATGAAAACAAAAGATAACCGGTACACACATTTCAGTATTATAATTATGGAAGTGGTAATGAAGTATAATTTTCCTTAATAATGAGACCAGCCTCCTGATTGGATATGAAAACTAGAAGAGTTGTAAGAAGTAACATTTTGAATATTTCAAGTGTAGATAGTAGTTGAAAAGTAACAACAAAAAACTACAGAACCCAATACTATTCAAGAACTTCAATACAAAATTAATTGGTGTAGAAATCAACAACAAGACGTGTGAAAAGGTTTTCAAAATTCCACTACAAAAAAGGGAGTTCAGGAATAGTGAAATACATTTCCATATGTCAAACGTAGATACTAGTTAATTAAAAGTTGTTGAAACAACAAATATCCAATATTCTGGTACAAAATTTATGGTGCAGAAATGTATGAAAGCTACAGCTATTTTTTTTCAATTCCACAACGAAATGTCTGAAAATTGATGGAGAAAAATACAAGTTGTAAAAAGTTTTTTCACAAATCCACTACGAAATGTTTTGAAAATTGATAGATTCAATTCTCGTCATGGTAATAATCGAATAAGTAGTTGTTTTCTGGCAAATATTCACCATTATAAGCCTATATTGTAGGTGTATATGAGAGTAAAAAAAAAGCTATTATTTTAATAAAAAACAAGTTTTGTTTATTTGAAAAAATCTATGAAAATCAAGTATTATGAATGCTCATGAGAATAAATGTTTTCATTATAAAGTTCAGAAACAGACGCATATTTTTCCTCCATCATTGACCTCAAACATCACCCGGTTATTATTGATAAAATGCATGTATTGAATCATATTTGAACTTGAAAATATCATAATCGCACCCAGATGAGATACATACGCAATATTTAGAATTGTAGCAGTTTAAATATTTTGTCTCAATTCTTCGTTCACCCGGCCGTTGATTGGATACTAATTAAAGTAATATATTTGAAACATTGTTCGAAGTAAATTTTTGATCTCGTTGAAGGTTATAGCTTTGAGTCATTAGTTTGGTACTACTCATCATTTAGCAACGAATGTTTAGACAGTGCAGTGAGTTTTAGTGTTCTAGAACATCAGGGAAGAGATTTTTATTCAATTTAAGGTATATTTACAACTTCATATTATAACTTTATATTTATAACTGTTCATCAAACTTCAGCCTGGCATTGTTGAAAACTGATTTGATAATTGAATAAATGTGAGAAAAAATCGTGGCAAAAATGTTTACTGACATGCTTACACAACTCCGCTACATTCTCCAATATACAGTGCATTTCTTTAATGTTCCCCCCCCCTTTTATTTTTTGAATAGGTCAACTCAAAAAATTGAAATTTGGGATAATGAAATTAATGCATGAATACTTTATTATAAAATTAAATTGACAGATGCAACATTTTTCATTGTTTAGTTCAAACCTTTTTATTGAATTATGTTCACTCCAACAAGTCTATATGCGTAACTGCACCGAAGTCGTGTTTCGATGCAACATTTTTTCTCTGCTTCGTTCGAAAAATTCTATCGCTAAATTCCATTCATATGAAGTCGTGTTTCGATACATTTTTTATCGTTTAGTACGCAAAGAGTTCAATCTTTCATACAATATTTTTGTTTGTTCAACTAAAAATTGTGTAGGATGTCGCACTGAAGTGTTTGAGAGAAAAATATATAGCATGAACTATTGAAAAAATGTATACAGAGTGTTTCATTGACGTTTGTTAGAAGAAAAATTATACAAGATGTTTCAAAATACAACGTATAAGAAAATAAAATGATAATATAAGATGACGAGAACCTCAGTTTTCAACGTACGATCCCTCAATGTGTACATGATTTCTCAAAATTGATCATTCCAGAAAAACATGACTGCACGTGTTTGAAAAAATGATATACAAAACGACTCATTTGAAAACGTATACAGGACGTCTCATTGAGAAGAAAATCATAAACAGGACATTCTAAAAAAACAAGGCGACTGGACTGTGACGGGAGCCTCAGTTTTCACGTGCAATCTCAGTGAAAATCAACGTATACAGGACGTCCGCAAAAAACATGGCGACTGGAAGATGACGAGAACCTCAGTTCCCAACGTGTGATCCCTCAATGTGTACAAGGTCTCTTAGAATACATCATTTTATCGTTTAGTATGCAAGAGTTCATTCTCGCATACAATATTTTTTGTCTCTTCAGCTTATATACATAGATATGATTCGCATAAAGTTGTGTTTCTATACAACATTTTTTCTCCGCTTCATTCAAAATTTCAAATGATATATTCCGTTGAAATAAGCTCATGTTTCAATACATTTTTCATCTTTCGTAAGCAAATAATTCATTCTTACATACAATAGTTTCCGTTTATTGAGTTTAGAAATTTAGATATGATTCGCATAAAGTTGTGTTTCTATACAACATTTTTTCTCCGCTTCATTCAAAATTTCAAATGATATATTCCGTTGAAATAAGCTCATAAGTTGTGTAATTTGTAACATTACAGGCTTTCAAATTGAACCGTCGTATACAGGATGCTGTCTATTTATTTTTTAGCAAAAAATGTTTTCGTAGTCCCCATTAAAAAAAAATTGGTAAAAAATAAAATTTCACTTAGATGGCCATGACTTCAAGTCTAGATGTATTTTTCAATGCTGAACAACTTTTTTGAATAACATTTCCCGATATTTTTCTGTTTAATGTTTAATTTCAAGAAAAACTTTTTATCGAAAAACCCTCAATAAATAAGTTTCCCATATGGTGCATACTTTGAGGATGACACTGTATATCAGATTCGATCGTTCTTTGCTGTTTTAAAATCCCCTTTTGTTGGGGAACTGATTCCTTCACCGCGCATATATTGAATGTTGTGTTATCTGACATATTGACTGCAACTAATTTTGATTTTAACAAGTCTATATATGCGTAACCGCCACATACTTAACCAACTGCGCCGAACCTAACCATACTGCGCAATGCGTAACTGCGCAACAACAAACTATACTGCGCTCGTTGCGGGTAGTGATTTGCCGTTTAATTTTGACAAAGTTAGAACATCATCGTCTCAATTCATTTTTCACAAAGTGGAAAATGATACAAACCATTACCACTTACGAACAGTGAATTACATCACCATATAAATTCCAATGTAATCTCGACGGTTTGGCCAAATCAAGTCGATTATTAAATCTCATAGCATAGTCAGGAAGGGGTTACACAAAAAATGCACAATCTATCATGCAAAAATATTAATTTTCAATCATCTTTATCGTTTTACAAAAGCATACGCGTTCACTAGTCAATTGGTGATTATTAAAATAGCATCGTTCAAGAAAAACATTAGGAACGTGTTCGGACTGAGGAAACTAACTTTGTTCCAATATGAATCCTTGAGATTTTCATTTTTAGGGTAATCTGAAGGTTTATAAAATTCCTGCACTGGATGTGAATGACTTGAGGAACCGAATAGTTGACAGTTGCAATGTCACAAGGAATACTCCGCTTTTTTTTAGAACATGTCAGACAATAAATTCAAGGTCCCTTCTGGTTTGATTGTGATTCAAACTGCTGCTGTTGGATTTCACTTATAGTTATTCATAACCTGTTTCAGCCAATATAACGAAAATAAGTTATGAGGCCCTTTTGACTTCGGATGATGAGTCCAAACGTACTCTGCTATTCCTACAATCCTATGATGAAGGGAAGTACAAGTACTGGTTGTGGAGGCTTCTCTTCCTTGTGGAGCTCTTGCTGTCTTCTAGCTAAAGCCTGTTCCATCATCACTTTGGAGTAACCACTTTGTTGAAGGTCATTTTTGATGATGCCTAGTTTCTTTTCGAGACTTTCCTTTGTATTACAGAGTCCAAAAGTACTGTCTAGTAGAGTATTGATGATGATGATTCCCCCATGAAACTCATCAAATTCAAGGCTCCTGAACTTTCCTGGGAGAGTTGACCGGTTGTTATCAGAGTGCCAAAAGTTTCTGTGCCATATGATTTCCTGGATAATTCTCGAAGTTCATCATCGAATAGTTGTTTCTCACAAATGTGCAAGGTGTGAGCTTTGAAGACAGTTTTCTCGTTAATAGGGTTTGGTCCATGTAAAGACCAACCCAATTTACATCTACTGGCAATTGGAAGATATTCCGGGCCACTTCGTATCTATCTGGCAATTATCAAATGGCTATTATCTTGGCCAATGAGCATTACAGGTTTTCCATTATGAATGTCATTTATCGGAACACCTCGTAGATGCGAATATTTCCTCCAATCTGCAATATTGACATGTTAGTCTGGAAGTGACATGTTGGTGACAGTTCACACACTTTTCAAAATGTAATTTTTATTGCTGTCGTCTATTTTGGATACATTTACGTTCAATCGCATGAAATTTTCTTGCATAGTTACATTTTCATGTGTCCGCTGAAGACAGAGGGACTCTTCAACACCAGTTAGTCCAAAATTTTTGGCGATTCTTGAATCCAATAGTGTTGATATCGAAGCTTCATCACATAGTGCCAAAACAAGTACATTGCCTCTTGGTCTATATAATTTTATGTAAATTATTCGTAAAAGGACCTTGCTTCTGGGATTATTTACGGAGCACACCATTTCCGAACCACTTTCATTATCTTGTAGTAACATGGTCCTATCCTCATTTTCCAGTTGTTTGTCTAACAGGAGATGATGAAACAATTCACAACCGTTCCTAGCGCAAAGTTTTCTCATTCTGCATATGAACTTTTGATGATTTTTCCGAAGAAAAGAAAATCCCAATTTCTTCCTGGTGACAATGTCACATCTTTTTTCAAAATCATTCAATTGCATTTGAGAGCAGGTACCTTTGTGGTGCTGGGACTAATCACAATATTTTGGATTTTATTTCGGTCGCCTATCATTTTTCTTGAAATTAGTGAATTTCGATTAATGAAATTCAGTATTCAAAAGAGGGGTACTAACATAACATGTAGAGCTGGCCTTTTCTTTCAACCGTGCACTGAAATTTCCCAAATTTACTACACCTTTTTTGTCTTCGACTGTGTCTCCCCATGAAAGCTTCATCAGTTGATGATTTTCTAGGTGACGTTTATTGTCCAAACTTTTCATTATAGGCATCGTATTGTTCACTTCAGATGAAAAATTAATCAAATCCTCCAAACTACCGTCTTTAATGAAGGGAATTTTTTGTACTTTAAAAATGACTATGTCAATTATATATTCAGGTCGGCTAAATCGGTTTTCCAAAGTAGAAATAACATTGTCCACGTTTTCAGCCGTTAACAACATTCCAACAACTGCGGATTGAGCCTCTTCTTTGAGATATTTTTGCATTTTCAACATAATTTCTTCATTGCTATAATCAGAGTTTGCGAACATTTTTGAACGACTTGAAAAACAAAGGCCTATCTTGAGGATTTTCATCAAAATGCGGGAAATCTTCCTGCAGTGTCTTCAACATTTGGAATTTATCGGTTTCTTTGGCAACTTGTGCATTCGATTAATTCGAAGCAACTGGAACTGATAACGAAACTTATCTAAGGTATTTGACAGACTTGATTACGGAATTGTGCAGGTACGGCTTTCCTCTGACACTCATCCAACTTTCTGTATCATACTTCACTGACAGGCATCAGTATATTATATGCCATGGCTTCAAGTCTGTGGAATACACAACCTCCTCGGGTGTTCAACAAGGAAGCAACCTAGATCTCTTTAACACCTTCATAAACGACATATTTGAGGTCATTGACATCACCTGTTTGATATACGCGGTTGACCTGGTATTATATTGTGAGATCAATGGCATCGAGGGTTGTCTTCAACTTTTCCTCAATATGAAACGTGTTGAGCAATGATATTGGCATAACAATCTTCCTTTGAATGCGAGTTAATGTAATGTAATGATATACAGACTATAAAATCGGCCATTTTCATATCAATATTTAATAAACGATATTCCACTTCAACGGCCTCTCACATTCTTGGTGTTACCTTCGACACGAAACTTTCCTTCATGCCACACATTGAAGCGACTCTATTTGCTGCAAATAGGATGTATGGATCCGTTGCACGAATCTCCAGAGATTTCTCGGATCCATCCTCTTCGAAAACCTC